GTCCTATTGAACCACAGCGGCAGGCCACGCGCCGAGTACCTGGGCCTTCAGCAGCGGCTTAGCCAATTTGACAACCTCTGATTCTCTAAAAACGCGACATAACAGCACACGTACATGATCTGGTGCGGTTCAGAAATGCTGTTTTATCAAATAACATTCCAAAAACAGACAAATTGCATTCTACTCACCGGCTTATTTAATATCCACATATGCAGATCTCTACAGACGTTGTTCTGCTGGTCAAATTGTTTTGCTCTGACCAAACCGGTCAGAGAGCAGAAAGATATTTTCAAGGGCCGGCTGCTCAATTTCAAACAAAACGGATTGAGGTAATTGATTTTGGCAATAAAGAGTTTTTGCTGTTAGAAAACACTTGAAGTCACGGTCTTCAGAAACCAAAGACCAATATTTCTAACATCATTTTGTCTTTCATCAATGGGTGATAGCGGTTAGCGTCCTCGCTCACCTTCGACCGCTGGTGAGCTCGGCACTGGACCCGCTGCAGTTTGCCTATCAGTCTGGCATCGGAGTGGAAGACGCCATTATCTACCTCCTCCACTCAGTGCTGTCTCACCTGGAGAAGGCTGGGAGCACTGTGAGAATCATGTTCTTTGATTTCTCCAGTGCCTTCAACACCATCCAACCCAACCTACTGAGGGACAAACTGCAGAACGCCGGAGTGGACCACCATCTCACAGCATGGATTATAGACTACCTCACAAACCGGCCGCAGTTCGTAAGGGTGCAGAGCTGTGAGTCGGACAGGCTTCTCTGCAGTACGGGAGCGCCGCAGGGGACTGTTCTGGCTCCATTCCTGTTCATCCTCTACACCTCGGACTTCAGACATGCCACTCCAAACTGCCACCTTCAGAAGTTCTCCGATGACTCTGCGATTGTTGGCCTCATTACAGAGGGGGACGATCGGGAGTACAAGCGACTGACGAAGGACTTTGTGGACTGGTGCCAGCAGTATCAACTCCAGATCAACCCTAGGAAAACTAAGGAGTTGGTTGTGGATTTCTGCAGGCAACAGTCCTCACCAGCACTGATGAACATCCAGGGTATGGACATAGAGAGGGTGACCTCCTACAAGTACCTGGGTGTTCTTCTCAACAACAAACTGGACTGGTCGACTAACACGGACACCCTGATCAGGAAAGGTCAGAGCAGACTTTTCCTACTCAGGAAACTGAGGTCTTTTGGGGTTCAGGGGTCACTCCTTAAGACTTTCTATAACTCGGTGGTGGCCTCGGCCATCCATTATGGCATTGTCTGCTGGTCAGGCAGCATCTCGGCCCGGGATAGGAAGAGATTAGAGCGACTAGTCAGGAAGGCTGGTTCTGTCCTGGGCTGCTCCCTCGACACTCTGGAGGAGGTGGGCAACAGCAGGATGCTAGCTAAGCTAAAAGCTATGTTGGACAGTCCCTCCCACCCCCTCCAGCCAGCCCTGACAGCACTCGGTAGCTCCTTCAGTCAGAGACTGTTACACCCGCGTTGCAAGACGGAGAGATACCGCCGCTCGTTCCTACCGACTGCTGTCAGGCTGCTGAATAAAAAATGAATAAATCAATAAAGCATAGAATTATTTAAATGATATGACAACATATGTGAATAGTACTGTGACTATTGTATTATATTGCACTTAATTATTGACCTTATCCATGTTTGTATTTATATTGCACTTAATTGAACTGTGTTTTCTTTTCTCTTCTTTCTACCCACAATCTTGCTGCTGAAGGCTGTAAATTTCCCCAGTGTGGGACAAATAAAGGATATCTAATCTAATCTAATCTAATGTCCGCCTCACAGTATAGAGGTCCAGGGTTCGAATCCGGACTCTGGCCTTCCTGTGTTCCGTTTGCATGTTCTCCCTGTGCCTGGGTGGGTTTTCTCCCAAGTACTTCGGTTTCCTTCCACATTCCCAAAAAACACGCACGGGAGGTTAACGGAACACTCGAAATTGTCCCTAGATATGATTTTGAGTGTGAACATTTGCCTATGTGTGCCCTGCGATTGGCTGGCAACCAGTTCAGGGTGTGACCTCGCCTACTGCCCAAAGACAGCTGGGATTGGCTCCAGTGCACGCACAACTCTTGGGACAATAGGCGGTTCCGTTCCTGGACGAATTTGGATGTTGTCAAGCTAACAGGTTCACTCGGTCACAATGAAATATTGATACCAACAGTAGTCTGCTTGCTCACCAGAATCACAGTGGCAAGTGAAGGTCAGCCATGTGCTTAATGAAATTTTATAGAAGCAGAAATGTCCACCATGTCAGCAAGCTCACATATTGTTCTGTTTATGTGTACATTGTTACTAACTACATGAGCATCCATCCATTTTCTGCAGAGCTTATCCTCACTGGTGGGGTCCCGGGCGTGCTGCAGCCTATCCCCGCTGTCATTGAGCGAGTGGTGGGGGTTAGCACACCCTGAACTGGTCGCAACCAATTGCAGGGCACAGAGAGACAACCATTCCCAGACTAATGTAACGTAAGTTGTTTCATATTGATAATTAAAAGATTTTTTCCAGTAACACATTCTGATTGATTTTTATAACTGATTTGGGGCAATTCTTCTTGATCTTTGTGCAATTCTCACAAACTCATGTCAGAGAAATTGCTAAGTCTTTCCAATCGTGAACGTTTGCGTCTCTGTTAACTCATCATTTGAGTTTCAGAATTGCTATTTGATAAAAAGTCAAGTCTTTGGGTTGATGAAATTAAAATCACATGCAGTTTCCAATGTCATCAAAGAGACCGACACATTTTTCTCTCTCGTTTAATTCTGTACATATTCCACAAAGTCTGGAGATGACTGATGCCAAAATGTCCCTTCAGAAAGTGCCATTAAGTTATATTTTGCCAGGGCAGCAGGTAAAAATCCAACTAGTAGCAACACATGAGGTTGAGTTTTATGGCACCGAATACACAATTCTTGGAAGTTTATCACAAGACACCTTACAAATGTTCTTATTCCAACCAACACCACTTTCAATAAGTTTAGTGTACACAGCATTGTTTTTTATTATTTTTTTAAGCTATAATACTTCTAAGTACCATACGATGACAATTTGTGAATACATCTTGGATGACTAAAGCACAATGCAAATAATCACAAGGTGTCCGAAGCCGACACCCTTGGTTTACAGTCAATATGCATTCATGTAGTTTCAGTAGTTAATGAAGTTAGTCAAAAATGAAAAACAAAGTCTAGTAGTGTTGACAAATTTAAAGTAGTCTCAAAGTCTTATAAAGAAAAAAAAAGGCGCTGTTACAATTTTACAACTTTCTGAAGCCGCCTATGGTTTTATTTTTATTACAGTCAACAAGTGATGCCAACAATCATCTATCAGAATGGAGGTGAACATATCCTTGTACAATGATTGGTCCAAGGTGGGAACAAATGGGGAAGGAGGACGCGGAAGGGGGGGGGGGGCTAATTAACAGCCAATTGGACAAATTGCAGGGGCTGACTGATATATGTGAGCTGTCACGGGTGGAATGACCAGACTCCAGAATGGATGGAAAGCCGTTTGAGCATTTATTCAATATCCTTGACATCCAACCCGAGGTCCGTGTACTAGTACAACGCTTTGTCCTCTCCAGTTAGACAACTTGCAGAGGTGCATCAGCACTTGTACAATGACTCGGATGCACTACTACAACTCGTCTCAATTCTCCTCGTTCCATAACTTGTACTACTTTGGGGCCCCCTACTGGGACCTTATGCAGGATATCAATAATCCCAAATAAATGCTGAAGTGGCTTTGTTGAATTTGACTCCAGCTTAGCATCCATATAATAGTACTCCTTGTCCTCACTAGTTGTACACCTGAGACATACTAGTCAAAAAACAATATCATTAGCTAGGAAAAAATGTGTTGTTGACAAGTGAATGCCGCTACGAGTAACAATCGACTAGTTGACATCTCGTGCTTTACTAGTGTACTAGTTCTGTACAGATGTCAACTAGTCCACAGTTTTAACTCACTAATAATGTGGAGCCGTCCTACAAACGAGGACAGTCTATTAGTACATGGACCTCTAATGGAATGACTAGTTGACTAGTCAATTAGCCAGCTAGTCAACTAGCGGTCTTGTAAATCACAAGTTTTCCGCAACTGACATTTCTGCACACTAAATTACTCAAGTGGAACCTGTACTAGTGGGCATTTTGGTGCTACGAGTATGGTCCAGGAGGCTAGTAGTGTGTGACACATGCCTCCTATTTGGGACTAGTAGTGTTGCTAGTAAGGCTTAATTATTTACCAGTAGGTCAAAGTGACAAAAGTGCGAGAAACATTACAAGTAAGATATCCTTGACATTCATCTTGAGGACCAGAGTACGCACTTTGTTCTTACCAGTAGGACATGTCAGCACACTTGTAGAATGAGTAGGATGCTCCACCGTCCTACAAGTGAGGACAAGGAGCGTACAAGGACAGTCACCTTTAGCTGGATGTCAACGATACTGAATGAGGACTCAAAAGGTCCCCCAAAAAAAGTATGAGTAGCATGGAGATGTCAACCAATGTGCATTTTTGCTTCACTATTCGTCTGTAGTTGTCCAACAAGTGAGGACAAAGAGCATTCGTACATGTACCTTGGGCTGGATATTAAGGATCTCAAATAAATGCGGCAACTGTTTGCCATCACGACGTTTTGAGCATTTATTTGCAGTACACTAGTTTTCCCTCACAATTCAGTGCATTGGTAGCATATAGGCTAAGAGATCAATTGGCTGGACAGCTGTTCGAGCATTCACCAATATCTTACTAGTGCATGGACCTTCGGCTACAAATCAAGGATATGAAATAAAGACTCAAGACAGCTTTCCAGAATGAGTTGAAGTATCAAAAAGCTGTCCTTGAACTACACTCAAACAAGAAACCAGCATCACATCTTTTCAAGACCACATCCAGGTACAAGACATAAGCATGTGATGTGATGGTAGGTCAAAAAAAGGGGGGGGGGGGCTGGCAGGGATGAGTGGCAAATTTATACACAGTTACAAGCTTAAGTCAGCGTAAACTGTTTTTATTGGAGGCAGATGAAAAGATGTTTCGGCTGGGAGACGGGTGACGGGCCAGGGGAACCAGAAGAAAAGCAAATATGCATGCAACAATGCCCACATGCTGAGGAATAGGATGGGGAAATGCCTTTTTCTCTTTTTAAATTAGCAACGAGCAAAGCAGATGTCATACAAGGCAATTTCAATTGTTATTACACTTTGTGGTTATTTTTTTTTGTACACTCCTTTGGTTTATAAACATTTAAACAATTTCAGTGATCATACCATTGCTATAGTGTCAAACAGTAGTGTCAACAAATGTTTATCTCATAAGGGTGGCGGAAAACAAAATGTGGCTGTATATAAAACAGAAGGGGATGAAATAAACGTTTTTGCCCTTTAATCCTGGAAGTATGTGGTGAGCTGTTAAGGTGGATGGATGGTGAGGTTGCTTAATATCCAGCCTTCCTCAGGTATTCCGCCATTTTATGTGCTTTCTTGTTAAGATTTCCACCATGGATTGCCTCCTTTCCCATGACAATAACCAATACTGGGGCACATAAGGGGGGGAAAAAAACAGAGAGAAAATGAACATAACAGAACTCTCCCCGCCCCCAGGTGACGGAGGGGGAGGTCCAGGTGTCAGGATCTTACCACTCTTCAATGCTATAAAGGTTTCCATGACATTTGACAGCTTGCAGGAGAAATCTTAACAGCAATATTTATTTTCTCTTCTTTATGTCCCTCAGATTTTTACCTAAATGAGCCTGGGAAACATTAAAAGCCCGAATCCCGCAAGTATTTTGCCATTGAGTAAGCCTTCTTATTCAATCCGCCTCCATGGACCCCTTCTTTTCCCATTACAAGAACCAAAACTGAAAGACAAGAGATGGGGAAAGGGGGATGGGGGGTAGAGGAAAAAGGTAAGAAACGAAGGAAAGCATCCCAAAGTACTTTCATGAGAAGATGAAGATATGTTGTAAAGTTTGCGAGCCTCGTTCTTGTACCTTGACTCGGTGAGCGCATCGTCAAGGTTGCAGTTAAGTGTGTTCTCTTGAATAAAAACTAAACATACTAAAAACAGCAAAATGGGGCCCAATATCACCAACACAGCTTGTCAGTTTGGGTTCGATATGAACAAACAGCTGCGGGTAACCAGTTAAGCCCAGGAGTTAGTGACTTTTTGAATTGATATCCTATGACTGGAAATATCCACTCACAAGATAAAAACTTGCTGACAAAGAATTTGACTGGTGTATGAATCAATTTGGTTTGAGCTCTTCTTTATTCTTACAAAGCCAGATATTGAAAGAAGGCATCATAAAAAATGTAGGGGGAAAAAAAAATTGGGTTCGATATGAACAAACAGCTGCGGGTAACCAGTTAAGCCCAGGAGTTAGTGACTTTTTGAATTGATATCCTATGACTGGAAATATCCACTCACAAGATAAAAACTTGCTGACAAAGAATTTGACTGGTGTATGAATCAATTTGGTTTGAGCTCTTCTTTATTCTTACAAAGCCAGATATTGAAAGAAGGCATCATAAAAAATGTAGGGGGAAAAAAAAACCCTAAGTGTGTTAAGACTATGCGATCTTTATGCACTTTTTTTAAACAAATATGATACTGCATCGCATAATTGAAGGGAAGGGGGCTGAAAAAAGGAGAAAAAAGGTTAATTGTGTTGGTTTTTCCCCATTGGATTTGGACAGACTGGGAAAGTTGATACAAGAGAAAGGCTGAAACAGACATGAAAAGATCAAAAGAGAAAATGATTGAGCCAATCCTTACGTGGGGTTTAATGAGGGAGGCTGAAACTATTAAAAATAAAACTAAGCTAGTACTTACGCTCATTTCAATGGTGCAAACCAAGAGCCGGCTTCACAAATCTCAGAATTCTCCCAAAAAGTTAAGTTGCTACTTTGCCCTGTCCAATACAGCAAAAACTAATCATTTCAAAGAGGCATCCTACCAATATTTAAGTTGGCTCTGCGGAACGTTTTATCTTAATTAATTTAAGTAGCAAGATAATACCTTTTCACAATAAGACTATTCTAAAACATTCCATTTACCTTGCCCAGCTCGTCCCACAGAGATGTTGTATGTGGGTTCTCCTCCTTGGCTCTTTGTCCTCATGTCCATTGTCCAGTCGCCCTCATCCTGGAGGCTGTCTCTGAGCACCGAACACTTCTTTGAGCCCAGGGTGAGACCGCAGGTATAAAAGGTCTCTCTGTCTTTGCCGACCAGAACGTCAATTTCTTGGGACTGGGGAGGGGGAAAAAAAATCAAACACACAAATAAATCAAATAAAAGCAGGGCAACAACGAATGCTGCACCTTATTAACATCATGTGCGTTTTATTTCAAATTATTTTGCAGACCTGCCTATTTTTAATATTTCTACTTTATTATTATTAATTATGCATCCCTTTGCATGTGGTGGTGGTGCTGTGTTTTCATTGCGAATAATGCTAAAACAGTCAATGTCCTGTGTGTGGGAATAAAGTCTCTACGGGGTGCGAGCCTCGTTCTTGTACCTTGACTCGGTGAGCGCATCGTCAAGGTTGCAGTTAAGTGTGTTCTCTTGAATAAAAACTAAACATACTAAAAACAGCAAAATGGGGCCCAATATCACCAACACAGCTTGTCAGTTTGGGTTCGATATGAACAAACAGCTGCGGGTAACCAGTTAAGCCCAGGAGTTAGTGACTTTTTGAATTGATATCCTATGACTGGAAATATCCACTCACAAGATAAAAACTTGCTGACAAAGAATTTGACTGGTGTATGAATCAATTTGGTTTGAGCTCTTCTTTATTCTTACAAAGCCAGATATTGAAAGAAGGCATCATAAAAAATGTAGGGGGAAAAAAAAACCCTAAGTGTGTTAAGACTATGCGATCTTTATGCACTTTTTTTAAACAAATATGATACTGCATCGCATAATTGAAGGGAAGGGGGCTGAAAAAAGGAGAAAAAAGGTTAATTGTGTTGGTTTTTCCCCATTGGATTTGGACAGACTGGGAAAGTTGATACAAGAGAAAGGCTGAAACAGACATGAAAAGATCAAAAGAGAAAATGATTGAGCCAATCCTTACGTGGGGTTTAATGAGGGAGGCTGAAACTATTAAAAATAAAACTAAGCTAGTACTTACGCTCATTTCAATGGTGCAAACCAAGAGCCGGCTTCACAAATCTCAGAATTCTCCCAAAAAGTTAAGTTGCTACTTTGCCCTGTCCAATACAGCAAAAACTAATCATTTCAAAGAGGCATCCTACCAATATTTAAGTTGGCTCTGCGGAACGTTTTATCTTAATTAATTTAAGTAGCAAGATAATACCTTTTCACAATAAGACTATTCTAAAACATTCCATTTACCTTGCCCAGCTCGTCCCACAGAGATGTTGTATGTGGGTTCTCCTCCTTGGCTCTTTGTCCTCATGTCCATTGTCCAGTCGCCCTCATCCTGGAGGCTGTCTCTGAGCACCGAACACTTCTTTGAGCCCAGGGTGAGACCGCAGGTATAAAAGGTCTCTCTGTCTTTGCCGACCAGAACGTCAATTTCTTGGGACTGGGGAGGGGGAAAAAAAATCAAACACACAAATAAATCAAATAAAAGCAGGGCAACAACGAATGCTGCACCTTATTAACATCATGTGCGTTTTATTTCAAATTATTTTGCAGACCTGCCTATTTTTAATATTTCTACTTTATTATTATTAATTATGCATCCCTTTGCATGTGGTGGTGGTGCTGTGTTTTCATTGCGAATAATGCTAAAACAGTCAATGTCCTGTGTGTGGGAATAAAGTCTCTACGGGGTGGACTAGAATTGATGAATCGGATTTGCTCACACACAATCCAATAAGTAAAGGAGTACAATGTCATATACAGTGTTGTGAAATAGTATTGTTATGTCACCAAGTCACTGTGACTAATGACAGTTTTGAGAAGGATGAGTTCAATTTCACAGGCAACACACTACATTTGTTGAATCAAGAAATCATATAAATAGAATGTGTCAGACAAAGTGCAGTAGGCTACAAGATCAAGAAACAAACAAAACAAAAGAAATTCAAGAAGAAATTATAAAAAAAAAGTTATTGAAAACTGTCAGTCTGGAAAACATTACAAAGCCATTTCCAAGTCTCTGGAATTGGAGTGTGGAATTGGGGAACGGTAGCTGTCTTTATGAGCGCAACATTTTCAAGTTGCTATTCAAACTCTTAAATTTGGTCATTTTACATGGAAAAGTGAGGTATTTGAGAAATGCACCATTTTGCGGGATGCATAAAGGAGTTCCCATGAATGAACTGAATGTGAAAGAAACTTTTTGGCTGAATGCCTCGCTTCACTTGAGTGTATATCTCCAATGTGGGAAAATGAAATTATGTCAAGACTGGGAATTTTTCAAAGGGTGGGGGTGGGGGAGTGGGATATTTCCCCGAATGTCCTGAATTTTGCAAAAGATGGGATGCTTTTTTTGACATCCACACAAATAAAGCAAAATATGCACATTCAGAAAAAAAATAACATCTGAGGAATGAATTGCGGCCTATGGATCGATCCATTTAACTATAATATCAATGATGCCACACAATCAAAGCAATTAGAAATGACGACTCGCTTCTTTCCACCGATGAGTGCAAAAATCGCACATCGGCACAGTAACAATAAAGATGGTTTTAAACGTTTTTCTATGACAGATTGATCAAAAGTCATTGAGTGTAAGCTTTTATGTGTGTGTGTGTTGTGACCACAGGTAACCGCAGATCGGCGGCTTAACGTTAGCTAATCATCACAGCCATGGCACACAAAGAATGCTCCTTTTACTTCAAAGCCGAATCCAATTTGCTTGTGGGTTTGGAATGAAACCAACTGTGAGAGACTATTTCTTATGATCTATAATTGACTGTGGGTGTGACTACGATGTTTTGTGTTGGGGTCCACGCCCGTTTCCAATGTGTCTCGTCGCACATGCGGCGGCGAAATAATCCTGCGGCGTTTACTTAGCCAGGAAAGGCCAGCGATGCGTTAGCTTAGTGTAGCCGCTAGTTGGCTAGTCATTTGCATAGATAACGGATTTTTTTTTTTTTGCCTTCCCCGGCGCTTTCTCTGGCAAGCCTCGCGCTGAGAATCTCAACACTTGACACCTACCTTGCCTTCGACTTCATATTCTTACCGTGATATTATTGAAAGTCCCACCGTCATGTGCTGCCCAAACGTATTTGGCGTCCAAATAGCCAACAATGGCGCTGTCCTGACAGCTGCCATCGGCCATCAGGTTTTCCACGTAGTTTTGCCAAGACATGTTGAATAAAGACAAAGCAGGTATACAAAATGGCCGAGGAGGCGCGAGTAAGATACCAAGGCCGAAAGGAGAACGATTCGAGAGCCTCGGATGAAAGCCACCACAACTCGGATGCGCTGGGGCGGCAAAGAAAGCCGGGGCACAAGTGCGGTTGCGGCTGCGGCTGGCTGGGTGTAGTCAGGATTTCAGATCACTCCGCACAATTAGCCTCCACCGCTACCGGCGTTTTTTACGGCAGCAGGCGGCGGAAGAAAGAATGAAGAGGGAATGAGCTAACTGTCTGGGGGGAATCCTGGCCTGGGGTGCACACAAAGGCTGCTCATTTATTGTGCGAATGTTGAAGAATTCGGCACCCCTTTTTTTTTCCTTTTTATTTGATGACCAAGTTTCGCTTTCCTACGTTTCTTTCAACCATGCCAACTTTTCACCTCAGTCAGGACATCTTGGGAACTATTTTGCCCAAATTCCTTCCCCCCCCCCCCCCCCCCCAACAA